TTTCTGACCTCTGCAACTTCATCCCTACCCAATCCTCACTCCTTCACATCACCGCTAATACCTTACTCCGATCACTGCAACCACATAGTTCCACAGTCTCCGATCGAGCCTTCTCCCTCCGCCGTATTCAGCCGCGCATCTCTTGCTTTCGATATCGGATTCTTCTCCGGCGGCGACTGGTTCTTCAATCGGTATCAACCTCGGAATGGTGAGTCTAAATCCGCTAGGTTTATGCCTATATCCATCCGCAAAACTTTGGGCGATGGGAAGATTTACAAGGTTGAAGCCAGATTGACTTTACAAATCTCCAGAACTTCCGATTCCTCTTTTAATCACGCCGGAGATTTAGGTCAAGGGAAGCTTCAAGTAACTCAGATCAACGGACGTAACATTCCGACGAGCTCTTGGGGTGATCGTAGATTCGATTTTTCTGGGTTTTGGTCAGAATCTACAGGACAAGTCTGTATGGTTGGATCAACCCAAGGTATTGATTCGAAGTCTTTTGATGCTCGTCTTGTGCTTAACTATTCGAAGGACTCAAATATCTATGGAAGTTTAGTTAAGGGAGTGTTAGAGAGTGTGAATAAGGAGAGTAGTTTCGAGACTATTTTGATTCTTGGTGCGAGGAACACTCCTTTGAACTATGAGTACAAGTTTTTAGAGCAATCGAAATCAGATTGTGGGATAAACAGTGAAGAGAGCTTGCCGTTAGAGAGTGTTTTGGGAGGAATGTGCAATATGCTTAGTACGAGACATGTATTTGGTCTAATGTACAGAACTGATTGTGGCAGTAACAATAGTTGCAGTCCTTTGGGACGTGATATTGAGTACAAGAAGCCGGGTTTCATGTCTCTCTTGTCGGTACTGTGTGTTGGGGAGAGGATGCGAATGCTTTTGTCGATTAGTAACATAAGCAGTTTTATCAGTTACTTTCCGTTTGATCCGAGCAACACTTTGGTTGTAGAAGGAGCTTGGGATGTAGGGAAGAATAGGTTCTGCGGTGTCGGATGCAGGATCATGAATTTCTCAGAATCGTTGAGGAACGCTGTA